CTTGTCCAAATCTTAGTGTGAATCATTAAGGTCAGAACAGAAAGAATTCAGATTTAAAAAAGTTTAATATCAGTTATTTTGTCGTGTGTTTTGCAATGAACTGGAAGGATCATGTTCTCTGTAGTTCCCTCTGTTTTACTGCGTTGTACTGTATATTACTGTGTTTTACTCTAGTACTGTTAGTCTCGAGTCCCTGGCCCGTAAGTCCAAGTCGAGTCTCGAGTCCTTGGTCCATAAGTCCAAGTCGAGTCCCTGGCCTTAAGTCCAAGTCGAGTCTCGAGTCCCTGGCCCGTAAGTCCAAGTCGAGTCCCTGGCCCGTAAGTCCAAGTCGAGTCCCTGGCCTGTAAGTCCAAGTCGTAAGTCCAAGTCGAGTCCCTGGCCCGTAAGTCCAAGTCGAGTCCCTGGCCCGTAAGTCCAAGTCGAGTCCCTGGCCCGTAAGTCCAAGTCGAGTCCCTGGCCCGTAAGTCCAAGTCAAGTCTCGAGTCCCTGGCCCGTAAGTCCAAGTCGAGTCCAAGTCGTCTGCTTTGAGCTTCAAGTCATTTCAAGTCTTTAAACCAAAATATCAAATATAGTTTAGATTTTTGGAAATGGAAGGATCATGTTCTCTGTAGTTCCGTCTGTTTTACTGCGTTGTACTGTAGATTACTGTATTTTACTCTAGTACTTTTGAGTATCGCAGTACTTCAGTTTCATCCAAAGTACCAGACAAAAGTGGGAGGGACATGTTCCAGTTTGTTTCTCTGAAATTCAGCTCCACATTTATCAAATTTAAAGACAAAAGTATTTTCTAAAAACATTTTTTTTTTTAGCAGAAGCATCAAATCTTCTCAAAATACATAAGTTTAAATGTGAGTAATTTATATCTTAACTTGTTATATTTACTTTACTTTACTTTTAAAACACAAAAATATGTGTATGTATGTATAATAATTTGAATATATTTCGTTTTTTTGCATAATTATTAATGTAATTATTGTTACTTTATTCCTTATTATTATTTTCTGGTCATTATTATTATTATTATTATTATTATTATTATTATTTATAATGTTATTTTTTAATTTATTGTATTTATTTATTTTATTATTATTAGCATTATTATTATTATTATTATTATTATTATTTGCATTATTATTTTATTTTTAATTATATTTTTATGTATTATTATTTTATTTTTTTCAGTGTCTGTTAAGAGTGGGTGTGGGGAGGAGGGGGTTTAAACGTGGCATTTGTATATTTGTACATCTTGTGGCATTTTTTGTGTGGCCGTAAGATCACAATATAGGGGGAAAAATAATAAATAAATAAAATATATATGACACAAAACACAAAATTATTCAAAATTTGTCCCCAAAACTCATTACTCTCAACACAAACACAATAAAAACACAAATATACTGAATAAAACAAATAAATATAGAGTATAATTTCGATTTGAGCATGAATGGTGTTTTCAGAGATGCTTGTGTAATCCCACTCGTGTCCACCAGATGGCGCTCCACCTCCACCTCCAGGATCCGGAGCGGGCAGAGGCATCGCTCCAGAGCCGAGTCCTGTGCTCTCATCTGGGGAGAGAGGGAGAGGAGGGAGCGCGGAGGGGCCCGGCACATTCCATCACTCCGCCAGGACTTTTACGCACGACAAGTTGTGCGTAATTTCTCAAATAATCGTTCTGTTTCTGGGTTAATTCGCACATCGTTACGCTCTGAGGCGCAAATTCTCAAACATTTATTCACAAAAATACATGTATTACGGAAAAACAAACAAAAAATATGAACACACACTCGAAGAGAAGATGTAGTAGTGTTTTATTTTTACTTTTAAATCCGTGCGTAAATCGGAAAAAGACAAAGTTTGTGCTGGAGGAACATCTCAGTTCATGGGGCACTGGATTTGAACTCAAACCTGGACATTTTGGACATCACCATTACGCATTCTCATGATTGTGTTGGCGCATGGAACAACGAAACGCGTAATTTGGAGTCGTTTTGTCCTTTACGCACGTTTGGTTCGTTTTGGTACATGTCCTGGCGCATTTCGGTGCTTTTTTTTTTTTTTTTTTGTGCCGGGGTTGTTGGCCTGATCTGGGGGAGAGGAGAAGGGTCGGGGGGGCGGGTCTGGATGTGTTTACGTCAGACACAGAGAGAGAGGAATGCTCCGCTGGACCGAAGAGCAGCGCGTAAAGTTGGAGACGTTGGAGACGAGAGCGCACCGGAAGCGAGCCGTGCGTAATGATCAGGTCAGAACAGAGGAAACCTTCATAGTGGAGAGTTCAGAAAAGATATTACTGCTCTCACGATATTATTAGTCATAGGGTATTTTATTATAGTGCGTAAAAGTGTAGTATAGTGTGAAAAAATAGCAGAAATAGCAGGAAAAAAACTAAAAAAGCTTCCATTTTTATTTCATAAAACCAAACCTTTGTTGTATTTAAAGGGCACATATTAAGTTATTTTCTGATCCATTTTTATAATGAAGTTTCGCAATGACAAACAGACCTGGAATTGTGTTTTCTTTCATTCACACATGTGTAACACACAAACCCTGCACATTTAGGCTGAGTTCTTCTCTTGAACTGAAAACACTCTGTTCCACCTTGTGATGTCATGTGGGACGTGCTCCACACACGTGGGACGTGCAGTCACACACACACAAAAAAAAACTGTTGTTGTGTCCATAGGCAAGACATTTAACCCACATTGCCTTGTATGAAAGTGGTGTGTGTGTGAGTGTTGGTGGTCGGAGGGACTGATGGTAACGATCGGCAGCCTCGCTTTTGTCAGTCTGCCCCAGGGCGCCTGTGACTACAATAGTAATTTATCTACAGAGTGTGGAGTGACTGAATAAAGCTCTGTGAAGTGTCTTTGTGGAAAAGAAAAGTCTGTGAAAAGCGTTATATAAATAAAAACGTAGTTAAACTCTGTACACTTCATTTAGGAGTGTGCACGGCCATGAGTCTGGTGATATGAAATGTATCACACTATGCATGTCCCGGTTTGATATATACTGATACATCCCAAAACTAAAACAAAACACAATATAGTATGATTTAAAGGTTGTATAGAGGATATTTTAAGGGAAGAGAAATAATTTTTCAAATGTTGTGCATGTGTGACACCACCTTCCTCCTCCACAGCTCCTCAGTAGAAACATCTCGTCCCGTCTCTTTACTCTAGAAATCACGTTTGTTTACAGCCAGTTCAGAATTACCGTTGAAGTTTCCCGTCTAGAAATAATTTAGCGACCGACGCGTCTTCAGTTTTTAGACCCTTCGTCTGCTTCAGTCGCGCCATCGCTGGAAGGAATCTCCAAGAATCACCTCAGTTTGTCTTCGCTCCTTTTCTCCTTCTCTTCTTCTTTCAGCGACCTCAAAAAACTGACTTTCTTTGGCGGCGAACCGGTCGCGGATTCTCGTCCGCCGTCGCGACAAACTCTGTGCGAATTGCGACGAAGCTACAGTTTGAAAAAGCCTCTAAGAACCGCCCCATACACCACGAAATCCCCGCGCGACAACGAGTCAGTTACGCTAGAAACATAGGTCGTCAATCAAACACCCTAACAGCCAATAGATAAAGAGGGAGCCTCGTTTTCTATTGGCTGATGTTTATCTGGCCTCAACACGTCCACAGTTGATGGATTTTCATTCTTTTTTTTTTTGGTCATCATAATTACGAAGCTGCTGCATCTCTGTAATGGTATTTTAAACTTTCATTGACAATTTGAAACTAAAAAAAAAATCCTCCATACAACCTTTAAGTAAGTAAGTAAGTAACTTTTTATTTATATAGCGCTTTTCACAGACATTTGTCGTAAAGACACTTTACAGAGCATTATTCAGTCACTCCAGACCCTGTGATGGTAAACTACTACTATAGCCACAACTGCCCTGGGACAGACTGACGGAAGTGCGGCTGCCATGTCAGTTGGCGCCATCGTTCCTCTGACCACCTCCAACATTCACACACACACACACCACTTTCATATTTTATTTAACAATAATTACTTCTAATAATACAGTCATGTACGAATTCACCAGCACAAAATTGTACATTAATTGCTTTATTTATTTTATATCATGAGAACAGTAAATGTTAAACTCGGGAAATTTTGTGAAAAATACGATTCGAGATTCAAGAATTGCGAACTCCACTGTTCAAAAAAAGCTGTTCAAACTACCACTGCATGACATCACAAGGAGGAACGGGCCATTCTCAGTTTTAGAGTGTTAATCATGGTGTTAATCATAAACAAAAACAACTCGGGGTATGTTTTTGAAGAGCTAACAACATTCTAACGCGTCTTAAAACTCACAAAAAGTGTCAATTTTACGCAATATAGAACCTTTAAACTCATATCAGCAGTGGCGGAGTTTGCAATTTGGGGGCCCTGGTGAATTTGAGTTTGGGGTCCTCACTATAATGCACTGTTTTATTTATTCTGTTTTTTCCCCCATTGTTCATGAGACACACACATCTTTATGGTGAATTGGAAACTTGTCTTAATAGTTCTGTTGCCTACTGGAAAACCAGAGCTGAAAGTAATTTTATTTTTCTGCTTTTTTGATTATGGGGTCAAGCGGATGAGTTGTTTGGTTGGTTGGGGACCCCTCAAAGTTCAGAGGCCCTAAGCAGCTGCCTACTTTTGCCTAATGTTAGAGCCGCCCCTGACGGACTAATAATAAAGTGTTAATCATAAACAAAAACAACTCTGTGTATGTTTTTGAAGAGGTAACAACGTTTTAATGCGACTTAAACTTCACAAAAGTGTCAATTTTGCGCAATAAAGCACCTTTAAACTCATATGAGGGACAAATAAAATAAAAATCATTAAAAAACTATCCTGTATTTATCAAATTTTTGGAGTATTTGTCCTAACGCAACAAAAAAACGCTTCATTCACGCGGCGTACGTTTTATTTTGAAAAGTAAACCGGATGTGGCGCGGTCTGGACGCGCGTAACTCCCCTCTCTTGACTCGCGAGCAGCTCGGAGCGACGGAGGAGCGGAGTGGAGAGGACAGTCGCCGAGGAGCAGCCGACGAGAGCGGGAGGAGAGCGCCGCGGGGAAAAAAAAAAAAAAAAAAGCCCGTGTGAAATGCCCCAAAGACGCCGCTCCCGGATGCACCGACGCTAGGACGCACACCACGAGGACGCGCGCACGGAATAACCCCCCCACACCCCCCCAACGACCAAATCTTTTATCACCGTCTTTGAAACTGCGCGGGTTTGATGCTGTCCACACGGAGATTTGCGCCAATAACGGACTTTTGGGTCGGCTGAACCATGCTGAGGCTGCTGCTCCTGACCCTGCTAAGTTTTCAAATAGGTAAGGACGCGTAACCTTTTTTTTTTTTTTTTTTTTTTTTTTTTTTACGCCGCGCTAACCTTGATTGCAGAGCTCGCGGAGTGGATGCTGCTGGCAGGCTTTGGGGAGCGCGTACGTACAGGTGTGTGCGTGTGTACGTGTGCGTGCGTGCGCGCTGGGGGACCGCGGAGGTGGCATTCGGGAAGGTGTCGTCTTCGGGTGACCCTTGCTGCTTTTTTTTTACGCACAAAGAAAAGAAAAGAAAAAACGAAGCTGCTGGTGTGTGCGCGTGTTGTGTTGCGTTTGTGGATGCAACGTGACGCGAATGACAGTGATGGACCGACCCCCACCCTCTACCTGTCACCCAAATAGACCTCCATTCCTCCCGTGCCACCTTACGCGTCTCCTCGTGTCCTTATCGTCTTTACGCGCGATTTCTCACACCCTTTTAGTTGGTTTTCCACAATGAACCGAGTGTGTGTAGCCTGTGCTCCTTCTTTTACGCATCTCTCCCTCCCTCCTTCCTTCCTTCCTTCCTTCCCTTGCATCCATTCTTTTTTTTTTTTTTTCTTTTTCCCTGTACCTGTGGGGTGCCAGCCGTCCACGCAGGTATGCTATTGGCTTAAACGAGAACCTCCGGCGAGTTGCTAGGAAACGGGAGGCTGCTACTGCTGCTGCTGCTGCTGCTGCTGCTGATGCTGGTGGTGATGATGATGAGGGGAGGAGGAGGAAGAAGAAGAGAAGGAGGAGGATGGCACCGCGATGCGAGGACGCGTGGCGTTTCTGCTACTACCTGGTCCGAAAAGCGTCCGACGCCGCGCCATTGTCCGGCGGGCGTACCTGCGGTGCGAGGTCGAGGTGGTGGCCCCCTCCTCCTCCTCCTCCTCTTCCTCCTCGTCCTCCTCTTCCTCCGAGCACAGACCTCTCCATCATAGGTAGGGGGCGTGTTCGAGGGGAAGGTACGGAGGAAAAAGGATGATGTCACCGTGTCTGTCGGGCTTTGTGTCAGGCGGCGAGCGTCTGACCGAGACCAACGACCGAAAACATGCCACGTACGCTTTGGGAGAACAGTGCAACGAGTGACAAAGCGACTGCATAGGCAACCTTTCCGACACTGGCTCTTTTCGTTTTTGCACCCTTCACACTGAGTAACCGTGTCGAACCACGAGAAAAGATGCTGTTGTTGAAATTCAGGAACATTGCAAAGAGCGACAAAGCTACTACACAGTCCACATTTTCCATAATGACTCGTCTTGAACCCTCCCCTCTCGTACGCTTCATGCTTCTGGTCTCCTTCGTTCATTCTATCACTTCACACATTTCGATATTTAAGAACATTGTACGGAGCGACAAAGCTACTACACAGGCCACCTTTTCGAGAACGACTAGTCTAGTACCGTCCATGCTTCTGGTCTCCTTCGTTCTTTCTATCGCTTGACTCTATCTCGTCTTTTTGCTATTTTTGCTTTTTATTAACGAGAGTACTACATAGTCAACCTTTCTGACATTGATTAGACGAGTACTCGCTTCGTTTTTGCACCCTTCATGACGAGCACACATGTCGAACCACGAGAAAAGATGGTATTTCTGAAATGTAAGAACATTGCAAGGAGCGACAAAGCTACTACTCAGGTCACCTTTTCGAGAACGACTAGTCTAGTGCCCTTCCCTCTCCTCCCCTTCATCCTTCTGGTCCCCTTCGTTCTTTATTTCTTTATTGAGTGACAATACTACTACCTTTTCGACATTGACTAGGCCAGTACTCTCTTCGTCTTTACACGCTTCATGCTGAGAAACCACGTCAAACCATGTGAAAATAAAAGCTATTTTTGAAATTTAGGGACATTGCAAAGAGCGACAAGACAAGACTGGTTCTCTTCGTTCTTTCGATCACTTGACTTCGAACTGTCATTTTGCTATTTTTGCTTTTTAGTAACAAGACTACTACGTGGGCAGCCTTTCCGACGTTGACTAGGCCAGCGCCCTTCATGACGAGCACACATGTCAAACCACGAGAAAAGATGTAATTTTTGTAATTTAGGAACATTGCAAAGAGCGACAAAGCTACTACACAGGCCACCTTTTGGAGAATGATTAGTCTGGTGCCCTCCGCTCTCGTATCGTCCATGATTCCAGCCACTTACATTCTTTCTATCGCTTGACTCCACTGTCATTATGCTATATTTGTTTTTCAGTAACAAGGCTACTACATGGGCAACCTTTCTGACATTGACGAGGCCAGTACTCTCTTCGTTTTTGCACTGTTCATGCTGAGAAACTGTGTCACACCATGTGAAAAAATGCTGTTTTTGAAATTTATGAACATTGCAAAGAGCGACAAAGCTACTACACAGGCCACCTTTTCCGTAATGACTAGTCTAGTACCGTCCATGCTTCTGGTCTCCTTCGTTCTTCCTATCGCTTGACTCTATCTCGTCTTTTTGCTATTTTTGCTTTTTATTAACAAGAGTACTACATAGTCAACCTTTCTGACATTGATTAGACGAGTACTCGCTTCGTTTTTGCACCCTTCATGACGAGCACACATGTCGAACCACGAGAAAAGATGTAATTTTTGTAATTTAGGAACATTGCAAAGAGCGACAAAGCTACTACACAGGTCACCTTTTCCGTAATGACTCGTCTTGAACCCTTCTCTCTCGTACGCTTCATGCTTCTGGTCTCCTTCGTTCATTCTATCACGTTCTATCACTTCACACATTTCGATATTTAAGAACATTGTACGGAGCGACAAAGCTACTACACAGGCCACCTTTTCGAGAACGACTAGTCTAGTACCGTCCATGCTTCTGGTCTCCGTCGTTCATTCTATCACTTGACTCTATATCGTCATTTTGGTATTTTTGCTTTTTTTGGAACAACAGTACTGCATAGTCAACCTTTCCGACATTGACTAGACGAGTACTCGCTTCGTTGTTGCACCCTTCATGACGAGCACACATGTCGAACCACGAGAAAAGGTGTTATTTTTGAAATTTAGGAACACTGCAAAGAGCAAAGAGACTATGTACACTACATCGGCGAGCTTTTCGACATCGACTCGTCTAGTGCCCTCCATCCTCTTGGTCCTCTTCGTTTTGTCTCTCACGTTCTATCACTTCACACATGGAGTGACAAAGCTAGTACATAGTCAACCTTTCCGACATTGACTGGGCCAGTACCCTTCATGACGAGCACACATGTCGAACCACGAGAAAAGATGTTATTTTTGTAATTTAGGAACATTGCAAAGAGCGACAAAGCCATTACACAGGCCACCTTTTCGAGAATGAGTCCACACTCCAGCCACCTTCTTTCTATTGCTTGAGTCCACTGTCATTGTGCTATTTTTGCTTTTTATTAACAAAAGTACTACATAGGCAACCTTTTCGACATTGACTAGGCCAGTACTCTCTTCGTTTTTGCGCACTTCACGCTGAGAAACCACGTCAAACCATGTGGAAAAATGCTATTGTTGAAATTTAGGAATATTGCAAAGAGCGACAAAGCTACACAGGCCACCTTTTCGAGAACGACTAGTCTAGTGCCCTGAGTAATTCCATCCACCTTCATTCTTTCTACAACTTGACTTCTCGTCATTATTCTATTTTTGCTTTTAGGACATGACTTTTACTTCAACCTTTGTGACATTGACTGGGCTTTTACTCTTACCCATGTATGTTCTAATTTTTTTATTAGGAATGACAAAGTGTCTTTTTTTTTTAGACTAGTGTAGTACTAGACTAGTCGAGTGCCCTCCCCTCTCGTGCCCTTCATGCTTCTGGTCTCCTTCGTTCTTTCTATCGCATTGACTCCAAACTGTTAATATGCTATTTTTGTTTTTTTAGTAACAGGAGTACTACATAGGCAACCTTTCTATCTGACACTGACTAGGTTCGTTTTTGCACCCTTCATGCCGAGAGATGTTATTTTTGAAATTTAGGAACATTGCAATGACCGACAAAGCTTCTACATAGGCCACCTTTTCGAGATCGACTTGTCTAGTGCCCTCCATTCTTCTGGTCCCCTTCATTCTTCTGTCACTTCACACATGTTGATATTTAGGAACAATACAAGGAGTGACAAGACTACAACCTTTCCGACATTGACTAGGCCAGTACTCGCTTCGTCTTTGCACCCGTCATGCTGAGAAACCACGTCAAACCATGTGAAAAGAAGCTATTTTTGACATTTAGAAACATTGCAATGAGTGACATAGGCTACATAGACCATATAGGAATGTTTTTTTTAACATTGACTAGTCTAGTGTCCTCACCTCTCGTGCCCTTCATCCTTCTGGTCCCCTTCGTTCTTTCTGTCATGTTCTATCACGTTTTCATATTTAGGAACATTGCAAAGAGCGACAAAGCTACTACACAGGCCACCTTTTCGAGAACGACTAGTCTAGTGCCCTGAATAATTCCATCCGTCTTCGTTCTTTCTATCACTTGACTCCATGTCATTATTCTATTTTTGCTTTTAGGACATGACTTTTACTTCATAGACAAACTTTTTGACATTGACTGGGCTTTTACTTTTACCCACGCATGTTCCTAATTTATTAGGAATGACACTGTCATTCCTAAAAAATGACAAAGTGTAATTTTTTAGACTAGGTCAGTACTCTCTTCGTTTTTGCACACTTCATGATGTTATTTTTGAAATTTAGGAACATTGCAAAGAGTGACAAGGCTACATAGACTATATAGGAAGGTTTTTTTTAACATTGACTAGTCTAGTATCCTCACCTCTCGTGCCCCTTCGTTCTTTCTATCATGTTTTATCACTTTACACATTTTGATATTTAGGAACAATACAAAGAGTGATAATACTACTACCTTTTTGACACTGACTAGGCTCGTACTCTCTTCGTTTTTGCACCCTACATGCCGAGAAACTACGTCGAACCACGAGAAAAGATGTTATTTTTGAAATTTAGGAAGATTCCAAGACTACACACTACACAGACTACAACACTGACTAGTCCAGTACCCTTCATCTCGTACCCTCCGTGCTTCTGG